TGTGTAGAAAAACATAGAAATGTATTTTGAAATTCCCCAACATTTTTGCTCATATTTATGAGATTATCCCTTTAATTTTCAAATATATTTTTTCGTACAAATGGCCAATATAAAAAGGTTTATATAGATTATAAACCCCAACAACCAATCTGGAAAATTCAGGCTTCCCCATTGCCATTCACTTGCAAGTAGGGGTGGACTGAACCGGGCCGGTTCGGGCCTCGGGCCTGGGCCCGGCCGGGCCTCGGTTCAGTATATATAGGCCCGAGCCCGAACCGGGGTTGGCCGGTTCCGGGCCGGTTCCGGGCCAGACCGGGCCGGTTCCGGGCCGGGCCACCCGCCCTATTATTTTTTTTTTTTTTTGGCTTCTTTATTTAATCCCCTACCCCTCTTTCTCAACCCCAAACCACCCCAAACCATCTCAAATGGACCAAAATACCTAATCTAACCCAAAACATAAAAAATTTTCAAAAAAAAATAAAAAAAAAAATTAATTCCGGCCCGGACCGGGCCCGAACCGGCCGGGCCGGTTCACCATATGGAAGGCCCGGGCCCGGAACCGGGAACCACCGGGCCGGTTCGACCCGAACCGCCGGTGGACCGGGCCACCGGGCCGGGCCGGTTGCTACAGTGGCCGGGCCGGGCCGGTTCCGGGTCGGGCCGCCCGGCCCGAGTCCAGGCCTACTTGCAAGCACACGAGGCTCTCGCCGCTCACTGAAAATGGTGTATCTGCACTTTTCTATACGAGAGATGACCTCTCTTTTCCATATGAAGTACACTATTCATACATCTGTAAAACTTTCTAACACTAACTCGTTTTCAACGTTTCTCATGATCACACTAGTGTTCACGGAGTATTATACTGACTTTATATATTCATCATCATAGTTATTATTATTACTATTCTGATGATATATTATGATGATTATTGTCATTGTTATTGTTATTGTTATCATCATCATAATCATTTATTGGCTGTATGCATGATACCTTCCAGTGAGTATATAAACGCGATCATCATGCGTTCGGATTATCTAAATCTTAGACCCTTCTGTTGGAGATAATCGTCGTAACCTGCAAAACAATGTTAGAAAAATAAAACAGCCCGAGACGCGCTAGTCGCTGTCCTAAAGAAAGTATTTCCGGTGGCTGGAAATCTTCCCCCAAGATATAACGGGCTCTTCGGCTAAATTGCCGGACACAGAACTACGAGGATAGAAGTATTGATTATGTAACCCAGCAGTTTATTTAGCGTAATATTATATGTATAGTTTAAAGTATTCGGACTTAATTAGATACTCTATCAAGTGTCTTCGATCACGTAAGTCCATTAAATAGAGATGTGAAGCATGTAAATTATTTGATAAAATAAAGTTGTTGGGGATGCTAGGTGATCCACGTACTTAGGAGAGAGTTGTGGGTGGCCAAGCAACACACCCATGCTCCCAAAATACTCGGTCAACACTCAAGCATTTCAACAAACTAAATCTGGCTAAAGTGTTATCCGTACATTATTGTTCTAAATATTAATTAAATAAAAAAAAAACATTTTAAATGAATTTTGTTTATTTGAAATACTTAATAATTTTCCAACAATCCCCCACATATTTCAAATAAACATTTGAACTTAAAAAAATATAATTTTGAAAATCTGCTGGATTAACGGGAACGAGACATTAAGTTTGGTGTCCGAAGACTATGAACCAAACCGAGACGATTAAGTCTTTACAAACCGAGCTTCTGGTGAAACATATAGTTTCTATGAACCAGTAAGCTACTATGGTAAGTCAGGGTCTTAACGGCCATGTCTCACCCCCCACAATTCCTCGCGTTAACGCCGTGGTGCGCCTTTAGGCCGTGCGCGTGCTTGGTATTCTTGAGTGCTCTAGAAGCGTTGTCATGCTTCATGGAGGCGGCCCCACCTCACACTCATATAGGTGACCTCATCAAGTGTGTTCTGCACTTAACACACCAGCCATAAGGCTATGAAAATCATTAAGAGTTTTAACTCACCCTCACAGTGAATGCAGTCTAGCCTCACCCTAGAAATGGACATAATAGACTAGCAGGAACAAATAGAAGACTTGTTATTACCCATATGAACCTGCTTCATGGGATCTCCAATCACACAGGTTGGGTTACCATCCCTATTTGTTATCAAGTGACAGTCCATTTCCCTCGGTGTATAACATATAATATCCTAGGATTTCGGCCAAAGGAGACTATTGACTCCATTCGTCATAGTTATATGACAACTTTATATTTCATACATTTCATATGATATCGTTGCAGTCGACTATACAACAATATCATCTAAAAATTATATCATCATTGTATTACTTTAATACAATGGCTTAGCTCATCAAATACACTTTTTGTGTTTCCACAATTTTGCTCAATCTTCCGACATTCAGCCGGGTTTCACATAGTTTATTTCACCAATTTGAAAATAGAAAATCACTTGTGTGATATTCAACTCAAATGACATCGTTGTATCCCGATAATACAACGGATAACTCTTAATAAAATATATAAGATCATTGTAATACAATGGATAACTCTCATATAACATCATTGTACTGCTCTAGTACAATGGTTATTTCTCAATAAACATATCATCATTGTATCAATTAATTACAACGGATAATCCCAATCAAATTTATTCCATAATTAATGGTATCTCATTTACGTTAGAATGAGTTTAAAATAACCCCACATTTTAAATATATTTATGGAGTATAACATTAAGCTCACCGTACATTAATCAATGTGAACAATAATTTTAGAGGAATAATAACATGCGGCTAACAAGATATGAACGCGGCATATAACTGGGTAAACATTTACACGTATAATAAGCACAATTCAAAATTTTATCAAAACTGACTTCAGGCTTATCCATGCAACCACGTAGCTAGAGTTAATAAAACCTTTTGCATGATCAACTACAAGAGATAATCATTAATTAATTAGGCCAATAAAACTTCGTAACGTGCAAACCCAGAAAGAACCATGCCCTCATACAAAATAGACTAAAGCATACGCAATTTAAAAAACTCAACGCAAGACTCCCGAAAAACGTATAAATGTGCATGCAATAACATCGTACTTAACGAATTAAAAATTATGACCATTCAATAACTTCTAACAAAGTCAATATATTTAACAAACCAATCACCGCACTAAATCGTGCATGAGCAATTTGCTGATTGCGTTACAAGCATGCAGTAGCGTATAATTAGTCTTTAACTAATTCAAATTTCAATTTTTAATAAGAACAAAAAACAGAACTGCACCTTCATGCAAAAAGACAAAACCGATTTGAATTTTCCACTCAGCCATATTACTCTACCAATGGAATTTTCAATTCGGTCATCACAATTATAAATTAGATATTAACACCACAGTAACAAAATCTCACAGAATTTATCAACAAGTAATTTAGACACCATAGGAATTAACACATCAATAGCAACAATAGAATATATTACCACATGTAATTAATACTTCCAAAACATCCCATTAATCATACGAATCAATCAATTAAGTGAGAGCATTATCATACTTTAATACATAAACATTATATTTCACAGAACAAACACTCTTACAATAGCCTTTGCCCAAAAAAAAAACATCTTTAGTCATGACAATTTTGTCATAATCAAAGGATATTTTAACCCCAATTTATATCAAGAGAGAAACGGAAACAAAATTAATTTGTCCGAATCTCATGCACAAAAACATGTCATTTAGTGATAAAGTGTACTCCGATGTGAGTTTAAGAATAACATTTCCTTTACCCTGCACCTTAGCGGTTTTAAGTCCACCAGGTACACAAGGTTTTCATCATCTCCTATAATAGTAATAAGATATATAGGAGGTTAAAGCACTTTTGTTTTTGCAAATGTGCTTGGTAGCCCCGGAGTCTACCATTCATTCATTCACATCATTTATTTTACAACTTTGAGAAACAACTGCTATAAAATCTTCATCACTTTTAATCAATTTTAATTTTGATTTAAGTGGATTATTGTTTCTCATAGTTGTCTTTTTATCACATAAAATGACATAAATTACAACACTTGGGATTAAAACAAGGCTCATTGAGAATAGGGTAACAATTAAAATTATCACAAATTGCCATAAGATAACACATGCAGATTCCCGAAGATATAAAAAAATGCAACTAAAGTAATTGATAGAGATACCAAATTTCATTCGCAGCAGGCATGTGGGCATAGAACGTATAATACAGGGGGCTAGCAGCAAATGACGCGGACGACAACCACCAGAACGGTCAAGAAGTAACGGTACAATTATGCAACGACTTTGCGTCCATCCTCATCATCTCACTTGCAACCTGTTCTGGCCGACGGATATCTGGCACTCTGGCGACTGACTTCTCCGGCAATTAGGGGCGAGCGGCAGTTTCCGACGATATTTACTTTCTTTAGATTGTTGGAGATAATCGTCGTAACCTGCAAAACAATGTTAGAAAAATAAAACAGCCCGAGACGCGCTAGTCGCTGTCCTAAAGAAAGTATTTCCGGTGGCTGGAAATCTTCCCCCAAGATATAACGGGCTCTTCAGCTAAATTGCCGGACACAGAACTACGAGGATAGAAGTATTGATTATGTAACCCAGCAGTTTATTTAGCGTAATATTATATGTATAGTTTAAAGTATTCGGACTTAATTAGATACTCTATCAAGTGTCTTCGATCACGTAAGTCCATTAAATAGAGATGTGAAGCATGTAAATTATTTAATAAAATAAAGTTGTTGGGGATGCTAGGTGATCCACGTACTTAGGAGAGAGTTGTGGGTGGCCAAGCAACACACCCATGCTCCCAAAATACTCGGTCAACACTCAAGCATTTCAACAAACTAAATCTGGCTAAAGTGTTATCCGTACATTATTGTTCTAAATATTAATTAAATAAAAAAAAAACATTTTAAATGAATTTTGTTTATTTGAAATACTTAATAATTTTCCAACACCTTCTTCACTCATTCGGTTCCAACCATCGGTTACGAGGTTACAAGGTGCCACTGTTTACAAAGAACTTCTCTTTGGAGTTCCAAATCAATTCTCCAATCCTCACCACTATCAAGGTTACAAGGTACCATTTACCAGAGAAAACCCTGTCTTCTCTCAGTTTTCCGTTCTGTCTATTTTCTTTTGCTTGTAATCACACATGGGTGTGTATTTCTAGTTGCATCTACTTGCATGTCTGGGATGTTTAGGGTTTATTTAAAGTTTGATGGTAACTAAGCCAATTCTGAATCTTTCATTTGTTTTAGATCATAGCGACAGAAAAAGTTCAAGGGTTTTGCTCTGGTATACATATGTGATTTGTGGAAATGTTCTTTATGCTTTAAACTTAGCCTACCGTTTTCTTGCTCTGTCCCAAATAATCAAGTGAATTGATAGGATGCAAATCAACTTTTTTACTAGGAGGGTGTAACAATGGAGAGAGAGACGGAAAGGACAAGCCAGGAAGTGGTTGGAAATCAAGAAATCAAGGAAGTTGATGAGTTTTCTGGGGTGCCGAAAGAAGGCATTACTTCAGAAGAGATGGAATTGGATTTGGGGGGTTCTGGAGAAGTGGAGATGAACAATATGCTGGGAGATGGCAATTCATGGGATGGTGCAAGTAGAAGAAAAAGGGGAAGCTAAAGTTGGCAATTCTACGCCACTAGCTGCCAGTGAGCCCACTCAAGTGGATGCCATATCTGAGGGACAGGAAATTCGACGTCAAAGAAGAACTTTATGGCCCAGAGAATTTTATAATCCGGAACCAAAGAAAATCTTTGAATTTAAAGTGGAATTGGACCAAGCTACTATTTTAGCAGATTTAGACATTTGATCCCGGGGGAGATTAGAATTATCAATTTTTAATGTTTTTTAAAATGTTCATGCGATGTTATGACCTGACTTAGTGATTATGGATACTCCCTCCGTGCCAAAATAAACTTCATAGTTACTATTCTTATGGCCAGTTTGACATCCTTTTGATCTCCAAATTTATGTCTCAAACCTTTTTCATATTAGGGAGAAATGATCCCCAAAACAAGTCTCATATGAAAGAGAGATTGTTATTAAAATTTTAAAACGTTTATGCTCTTGCTTAGTTCTTGAAGCTTCTTCACACTGTGTTTCGAAAAAGGTTCTTCAGCTTGACCTTTGTAGGCAGTGCATGACTGATTATGTGTGGGATAGAACCTTTGCAAGATCTTCAGTTGGTTTTCCGAATTTGACTATTCTATCGATAAAGGGAGCATGCCGTATAACTGATAGTGCAATAACATCAATTGTAGCTTCAGCACCTTTTTTGCAGTCAATTAATTTAGGACAGTGCTCTCTTCTTACACACAGGTGTATTGAAATTATATCAAATTCACTGGGTGGATTTCTTAAGGAGCTTTACATCAACGAATGCTTAATGATAGATGCAATGAGTGTTATCCCTGCTTTAAAGAAATTGAAATGATTGGAAGTGTTGTCAGTTGCTAGAATTCAGAGCGTATGTGACCAGTTTGTTTTTAAATCACGGAGGGATTTGGTCATAATCTAAATGAGATTGATTTCTGATATGAAGCGGGAAGAGCATGTGGCGGGACCGGGATTGGGCCCACTTCCGTGGGCCGGTTACGGGCTGTTTATTTATTATTTATTATTATTTTAAGTTAATGTTATGTTTTGGTTTGGGCCTTTTATTAGTAGAATAGTTAGTAGAGTAGTATGGGTCTAATTAGGATTTAATTAATTTGGGCTTGATTAGGGTTGCTTGTAGAAGGCTATTTATACCCCTCGCCAGGGTTCATTCTTATCATCTTGGAATGAAAGTTTGGTTTAGCCTTTTGGCTCTGGGCAACGGTATTAATTTATCATTGATTATCTGGGCAACGGTTCACCCCGTTGATTTTACTTTTCTGTTCTTATCAATTGGTCCGACCTGCCGGATCCCGTCCCGCCAAGATGACAAGATCTCAGAATGATCGATTGACGGAATTGGAGAACGAACAAGGCCGAACAAGGGAGGAGGTGGCTCGACTAGGGGCTGAGCAAACCCGGATGAACCACACGCTCGAAGATCATGGCACGAAGCTGGTGGCGATGAACCAGACGCTCAAAGACCACGGTGCAAAGCTGGCGGAGATCGCTGCATCGCTCGCCGCGCTGACTCAGGCGCTGGTGCCGCCTGTCTCGCCGAAGGCCGCCGCGGCTGGGGTGGGAGTCGCCGTGGCTGTTCCGCACGCGGATAGGGTGCTGCGCGACCCAATGCTGCGCGACCCAATGCCGCGCGACCCGGTGCTGCGCGACCCAGTTCACACGCTACTGCCAGCGTTTGATGGAGGAGACCCGATCGGGTGGATAGCTAGGGCAGAACAATAATTTGAATTAAACGACACCCTACCGGAGAAAAAGGTGGCTGCCGCTGTGGTAGCCATGGACGGCGGAGCTCTCTATTGGGTAACCTGGCTGAAATCACGCAAACCCGGTATGACCTGGGAGGATTTCAAGCAAGCCTTGGTGGCCAGATTTGATTCTCGATTTCAGGGGAATAAGTATGAACGATTGTCCGGAGTCAAGCAAACAGGGTCTATAGAAGATTACAATACCTTGTTTGTTCAACTAGCAAGCCAAGTTCTAGGGTTACCGGATGAGCACTATTTGGGATACTACATGAGCGGTCTTAAGGAGATCATCCGAAGCTCGCTGCGATTGCTTCGACCAAACAACCTGGAGATGGCTATGGAATTAGCTCGCGAAGTGGAGTATAATCTATCCGTCCAAAGTGGAGAAAGTGGCAGCCTGAATTATCATTCTTCAGGGGTACGTTCCAGCAGTTTTGTAAGGGCAAACATGGGTCCCTCGTTGACTGCCACTAGTGGCAGCCCACAAGGCTCAGGGGGCAGCTTTGCAAAAGATAGTGGACAGCCTCCGGGGACGAAATCAAGTCTGTCCGGGCAGCCTACGACACGCTCTCAGTTCACTCGACTGCCGCCAAAAGAATATGCAGAACTGAGGGCAAAAGGATTATGCTTTAGGTGTAAGAAACCGTTTACACCAACTCATGACTGCCCCTTTAAGCAGCTGCGGGTAATATTAGCTGAGGAGGATGAAGAGTTGGACCTCAAGCAGCATGAATTCTGTGTAATAACTGGACAGGAAAGGGTTCAGGAAAGAGAAGAAGGATATTTTCCAGTCTATACTATGTCTGGAAATTTCAGCTCCCAATCCGCGAGTTTTCAACCTTGAGGACAAGGTTATTTTAAGGTTATATTATTCATGGATTATTAATGATTCATAATGCCTAAATGAGAATACCATTGCTTATGAGTAATTGAGGTATTATATGCAAATTGCGAATGAATTGTGTATGGATATGTGATTATAAGTATGATGGCATGATAGTTGAGTGAACTATGAATATGGTGATAAAATATACCTTGGTTCATGTAAAGAATTCATGAACGGGTAAAAGTGATATTTTTGATATTGGGAAGTAATTATATTTGAATTGGAAGATAAATTGAAATACACGGTGTGTCTATGGGTTAAGAACTTGGTTGTTCTAAATTTATTCAACTAGTATTGAAATACTAGCCGAGATGTTAATATGAGAAACAATAGATTAATCCAATGAATTGGGTTGTGAGAAATTATACCTTGAGTAGTCCTAAGAGATACTTTAAGGTCGAGATGTGTAAGCTCTAAGTATAATAGGAGTAGGCCCTAAAGGTTACTCAATCTAAACCGATTCTAGGCATAGGAATTGCTTAGGGATTGATTAACGTGACTAAGAGCGGGGCTCTAGCATGTTGAAATGGTAACTAAGAGCGGGGCTCTAGCACAATGTAGATGGACTAAGAGCGGGGCTCTAGCCAATGTAAGTCAACTAAGAGCGGGGCTCTAGTAAAATGTAGATGGACTAAGAGCGGGGCTCTAGCCAATGTAAATTAACTAAGAGCGGGGCTCTAGTATAATGTAAATGGACTAAGAGCGGGGCTCTAGCCAATGTAGACAAATTAGGAGCGGGGCTCTAGTATGATGTAGGGAGACTAGGAGCAAGGCTCTAGCACAATGTAGGGAGACTAAGAGCATGGCTCTAGCATGATATAGTAATATAACCGAGCGAGGCTCTATGATTTTTATTTTATGTAATAGGGTAAAGCCTAAATGACTATGAGTACATTTACAAGAGGTTCATGACATTCGTGACAAATAGTCACGGGGGAAAAGGGGGACGGGACGGACTTTCAAAATGCATATGGGCCTACGGGCCGACTACTTGACTTTATTTATAAAGTAAGTATATTTTCAAAGAGGGCAACCCAAGGTTATGGCCTATAATCTAATATCACTCTATTTGAGGGTCTTAGAAATTGAAACATTGATTATACTTAGTATAGTTGTCATTGTACTTGTCAAATGCTTCCAAGTACTGACCTCCCCTTCACGGGGAGGCCACCTCACAGTTTCAGGTAGGAGTTGAGCTTGCTACCGGTGCCCGTTGCTTCGGGAAGATTCAGGAGAGAAGACATGGTTCGTGCTTCCTCCGCCTCTGTTTTTAAAACATTTAAATTAATGCTCATGGATTTTATTTTGAATAATTATTTCGGAAATTACCTCAAATAAGAGTAAAACATAGGATTAATTCCTAAATAGGAGTCTAAGTTTTTTATTCCTTAAATAAGACTTCATTTACTAATATACCCCTCTCAATTAAAAACCCTTTCCCCAAACCCATTTCACGCCACTCTGCTCCCAGAATTGTCGATTGAACTCCAACGCCTCCATTCCTTCTTCGCTGCCCATTTTCGATTGTGCGGCCGATTGAACTCCAATGCCTCCAGCTCCAACGCCTTTCTTCGTCTGTTTCGCCTCCACCATCGCTGGATCTCCTTGTCGATTTCAGATTGTAAAATGGATAACAGGTTTTCATCTCTTCTTCTTCCTCCTTCCTCTTCTTCATCTTCTTCTTCTTCTCCTTCTTTTCTTTTCTTTTCTTTTCTTCTCTTCCTCCTCCAACCTACGAAATCCTCCTTATTCCTCTGTTTTCTTCTTCATTTGTTTTTTTCATTTCTATCTACAATCTGAAAACTCAGATCTGGAACTTTGAGGCTTGGTTTTTTATTTTTTATCCAACTTTTGATTTTTAGATTTTTAATCTGACGTTTTGCTTTGATTTCAATTCATTTGTGTTCCAAAAACAACATCTGATTTTTCTTCATCATTTTCAATTTGATTTTTTTATTTAAAAAATTAATTTCATTTTAATGACATTTTGTTTATGAAGATGAGAGTGATACTAGCTCCTTTGAAATAAAGTAATTATTATAGTGCCATATTCTCTACCCAATATTATCATTTTTATGGCACTAATTTTATGAAAAATGGCAACATTAGTTTTAATATGATGTTTTGTGAATGCCAAATTTTTGGACTGCCAATGCCATTTCTGGGTTATGAGTGCCAAATTTTTGGACTGCCAGTGCCATTTATGGGGTGAGTGTCATGTTTTGAACATCAATGCCATTTTTTTTTTGAGAGATCGATGCCATTATTTTTAAACATCAATGCCATTATTATTATAATATGGCATTAATCTGTAAGTCCTTTTACTGTTCAGAACGATCTTGCTAGAGGAGGTGAAGGCATGGCAGAGCGCGACGTCGTCGGGAGGCGACACCGGACTTGTCAGACAGGGTCAGGAGATTCGTCGGGCGGTGGCTCCATGGAGGCGGCCGCAGCGGCTCCGTTGAGTAGGCGGAGGCGGCGGCTCCGTTGAGGAGGCGGAGGCGGCAGCTCCGTTGAGGAGGCGGAAGCTCCATTGAGGAGGAGGCGGCGGCGGCTCCGTTGAGATGGCGGCAGGGGGTTCGTTGAGATGGCGGCGGGGGCTCTGTTGCGATGGCGGCAGCGACAGCTCTCATGCGGGTGTGTATTTGGGTGTGGGGCTGCAGATCCATTAGGGTTGCAAAGATTACTTCCCCTTTTAATTGAATTAAAGTGAAATATCATTTCATTAAGGGTAATATGGTCCAGCCACTACGTCTTTACTCCTATTAAAGACCTCCTAAACATTGGACTCTTATTTAGGAATTCATTCAATGTTTTACTCCTATTGAGGGAATTAACCCTAATTATTTGGGGGGCTTGTATGCCCATGTTTGTCAAAGTGTGGCATAAACACTTGTATTAAATATTTCCGCTGCTTTAAATGATTATTTTTTACATTATGCTTGTTTATGGATGTACTATGTGTGAATGATATTCAAGACGCCTTGTATAGTATGGATGAGTTGGACTGCGGTTGACTATTCGTACTGTATGGCGGGTTGTTGACGTGTCCGGTAGGGCCGGGGCGTGACATTTCAAATGGTAGTTTTCTTTAAGTATTTTAGAACTATTCTGTTCTTTGCCATTTTGGCAGCAATTTTGTTAAGTACTCGAATAATTTAAGTTGCGTCATTTTGTTGCGACAACAAAAATGACGTCAGTTTATTTTTATTATATTAGTGCAGTCGATATCATTCGTATGTTATTGGGGCCTTTTACTTGAAGAGTAGTCACTGTTTTACTACGGTGTTTTACAATGTGGTTCTTCACATTGTAATGTTGAGGAATTGAAAAGATTCTCGGATTTGGTGCTCAAAATAGGAGATGGAAATATTGGGAATGTCAAAGATGGAGAGGTCGTCATTGATATACCTGATGATATGCTTATTACCACGTCAGGTGATCCTATTGCCTCAATTGTTGCTAGCACTTATCCGTCATTTCTAGAAAATATTGATGATCCATCATATTTTCAGCAAAGAGCTATTTTGACACCCACAAATGATGTTGTAGAGCTTATAAATAATTATATGATTTCATTGATGCCCAAAGAAATGAGAACATATCTGAGTTTTGACAGCCCATGCTCGCTTGAGGGTAACATTAGCGCTGAATCTGATGAAATGCATACTCAAGAGTTTCTAAACACCATTAATGCATCAGGGATACCGAACCATAAATTGGGACTAAAGGTTGGTGTTCCTATTATGTTAATGAGAAACCTTGATCAGTCCTCTGGCTTATGCAACGGAACTCGCCTGATTATTACTAGGTTAGGTAAATTTGTTTTGGAGGCGAAAGTTATAACCGGAAAAAGTATTGGTCAAAAGGTTTTGATTCCACGACTATCATTGGTCCCGTCGGATAGTAGAATTCCTTTCAGATTTCAGCGCAGGCAATTTCCAATAATTGTTTCATTTGCCATGACGATAAACAAAAGTCAAGGACAATCTCTGGATCAAGTGGGCATATATCTTCCAAAATCTGTCTTCACGCACAGTCAATTGTATGTGGTGATGTCAAGGGTTACCTCAAGGAATGGGTTGAAGATTCTTATACGTGATGATGAGGGCCGCGCTATCAACACCACAAATAATGTCGTATATAAAGAAGTTTTTCGAAATTTGTGAAATTGTTTTTTTCATTGTCAACATATATGACTGTTGCTCATCGATTTGTCAACTTATGTTTATACATTATCATTTATTTTAATTTTCTATCCATTCTTTCATACGATTTGAATTTTCCTACAACTAGGACTATGTATATACTAAAACTTACAATATATAAATTCTATTTGTTTTGTCAAAAGTAACGCATAATATGCCATAGTAAAACATAATTTAAAACAACTTATTATCCAATTCTAGATAATTTAAAACATAATATGCGGTACTTTGTCTAGTAATAATAATGTAATAGAAGGCATGACACTTTCATAATACTCGACGTGTTTGGGCCTAAGGATGGCAATGGGGGCGGGGACCCGTGGGGAACCGCCCCGCGGGCGAAGGTTGGGGCGGGGCTTGGGGCGGGGGTGGGGACGGGGATGGGTGAGATATTTTTACGCCGTTAAAATATGGGGCGGGGGATGGGTATTGCTACACCCGCCCCGTCCCCGCCCCGTCCCCGTTATAAATATATACTTAAACATATATATCCACATATATATAAATAATGTACACACATATTAAATTAAATTATATGTAGTATATAACAAATGCATATACATATAGACATACATAATTGTATACGGTTTAATCATGATTAATGAATTAATACATATTATACTAGAATAATAATAATAAGGCTAGTAATGATTAAAAATATTTATCATAAATGTTATATGAGTTTTAAGAGTGAAAAAGTGAGTAAATAAACACACACACATTTATATGTAATATAATACGAAGTATGTAATTAATTGTATAATAAATGTTGAGAATTTTGAAACAACGTACATGATGATAATATGTTTACCTATATTTTTACTTTAATTGTCTTCAATTCACAAAACTTATTCAAAATGAAGAATTATTAAAATTGGTGGTATTAACTTTTAACAAACACAATACTGCAGTGTTGCGTGTGTGTATCATATATTACTGTGTGCACGTAGATATATATATGTTTAGGATCAAATAAGAACAACGCTTAACGTGAGAACGTGCGAACACCACATTTACACCCAATGTGAAACACAATGGGCTTGCACAATGAACTTTTTCGTATCTAGCATGATTTTTTCAAAAGTGACACCGTGATTATTTATATTAGCTTGTATTGAGCAAAGTCCAAATGTGCACTAGAATGGCTCTATTGTGTAGCACATTGGATTAAATGTGAGTGTTCCCACGTTAAACATCATTCTCGTTGAAATCGCACTACACATATTTATAATAAGAGATTAAAAGTATATGCAAATACGATAAATTAAATTTATATGGGGACACCCGTGGGCACCCGTGGGGGACAACGGGGGTGGGGCGGGGATGGGGCGGGTCCGGGAGTAACGGGGATGGGGCGGGGATGGGGGAACTTTTTAGACATGAGGCGGGGATGGGGAAGTGTACCCCGCCCCAAACCCGCCCCATTGCCATCCCTATTTGGGCCCTTTTCATATAGTGGAACCGCAACCCTAAAAATCGAGTCTGTAATCTGTACGATGGCTGCAATAGACGGAGGTTCGTTGGAGTTGGGAGTTTCTACACCGTTCTATCCTCCGCCCGAGGAGAAACCGAAGACTGAAACAGACGTAGGATCTGACTGTGTCTCGAACAAAGTAGCAGATGTATTTTACATCGCAGGAAGAAGATTCCGCAGAGCCTACCTGAAAGATGAGGAATTTCAACGACAGTCCCTTCTTTTTGAAGACCAATTCGTCCGGAGCGAGGTAAACATATTGATGATTACGCATCCAGAATTTTTGTGATTACAGGCAAAGTTGTTAAACCGTTGTTTGATCGGTGGGCGGTAGGTACAAGGTTGAAGGTCAGGAAGCGGGTAGAGCCCGTTAATAAAAAATTATATGCATATCATATGCTACAAACTTCTGCCTCTTAATATTAGTGTTATATGTGAATAACAAAAACAGTGTCGATGTCATAAAAAGGTAAATTGGCACTAGATAATGGTTATACTGCACTTTGTACAATGTTTTTATGCCTTCGACCTTCATCTTGCTCCCATGGATTATTTAAAACACAAGTAATATCCAGTAGGAACTAGGATTAACCGAGAAAGAAGAAAGGAAGAGGAAAAGAGCTAGGTTTTGTCACGTTTCACGAGATCACCTTTTCTCATCATCCAAATCACCAAATTTTAGCTGTCACCGGTTCTGTCCTCAATTCTTATTCCTAAATCTTTCGATTTGATTTCAACCCTAGCTGTTCAAATCGCCAAGCAATTCAGTTAGGGCTGTGCAGAATAGATTGAAGAATGAATACTCCTATATATATTTCACAATACGTGAACCTTCTCCAGCTAGTACGGA